ATCAAACTTATACAAATTAAGTAAAATTACGTGGTCAACGGCGACCACTGTATTTTATAGAAAACATTCAGACATTTATGCTTCCTTGTACTCGTTCGGTTGTACATGACGCCTTCTTCAAATTATAGAGTTGGTAAAAGGATATTTTTTGATCTAAAAAAAAGTTCTTTATTAATTTTCGAATAATTTTAAACTTATGGACTGTTACATCCTGCGTATGGAAAAGAACGTTTTTCCTTACGTTGTGTTTCTTGTACTCGTTTGGTTGCACATTGCGCCTTCTTTAAATGTTATACTTAAAGAAAGGGTATCTTTCGGTTTTAAAAAAGTTCCTTAATTGCCGAATAATGTTGAAACCTACTGACTGCTACACTCGCACTGCGCACTGTGTACACCCTGTTTAAAGAAAAGTACGTTCTCACTTACAGTTTGAGGAAAAAGTCACATTGTTCTCACAGAATTTCGCAGCGTATGTGGCTCATGCCGCATACATTATAGGCAATATTAATAAATTGACGGAAATTGTGTATTCTGAATGAACATTTCACAGTCGTAAAAAATGTCATACCCTTCATTTAAGTATAAAATATAACGGCAGATCTGACTCCAAAATATTCAGGAATTAGTGTTCTTAAAATTTTAAGATTATGGTCCTTTGAGTGATAGTTTTGAAGAGGACGTGAATTGCTATCCAGTGAAAACCAAAGGGAGTATGTTGCTCTCAATATTTATAAAAAAATAAAAATTTTAATTGGTAAGAACGTCGAAAATTTATAGCAAAAATGTGCACTTCTTAAGTAGTACTTTTATCACGGGAGATCTTTTCAGGAGGCCGAAAAGATGCCTGTTCAAAAATTAGCACATCTTGGGATTATGCCCCAACATAATAAATAGTACAAGTCCACTTAAGCCATCAGCACTAACCCAAAAACGCATTTCTTTGAATTTTGGTTAACCTGAGATCGATCACTGAAAATATAATACGTGATGTCAAGTGTGACCAAGTTACATCGACCTTGATGCATCTAGGGGTTTGCAAGACAATAATACTCCTACGGAAAAATTAAAGTACTTAGGTCCCACGCCACAGTACATGAAAAAATGGAAGGCAGGATAATTCGAGACATTCTGTTGGAAACCCAACCCTTTCCCACACGTCCTAGCCCAAGGTTTTATTTGCAGAAGGCGGTGTCAAGCAGACAGACAGGTACACAGCTACCAGCGAGAGCGGACAACAGACGGTATAATTAAATGAACCCACTCCATGGCCTTCCCAAAAGCCACACAAAATTGGAGAGGCCGAGGTAAAAAGAGAAAATCGACGAGAGTCGAGACAAATGAAATAAGCAAAGGCAAATCGACTTTTCTGGTTTAAAAAAAGGATGTAGCCGGCAGAGTAAGAAATGACAGAAGAGGCAGTTCCAAGGTCACGACATCAGTAAGTAGTGTGTTCTTTAAAGACATTGTGGGTCATTTAGATGCATAGAGAACAGCTGGTTCGCTTGAGGAAGTAATAGGACCTGCATGGAGCAAAGTACACTGTTTTCAGAAAAATTGACTCCGTGATAAAGAAACATAAGTTGAAATTAAGATCGCAATCGGAAAGATAGTCTCTCGAACTCTAGGTGGTATTACAGTGGCATTCCAGGGAAGCTTTATATTCCCGCGTCCTAACGTTAACCCTCTCTGCAACCCTGGACTTCATCCTCCTCCTCTGGAATGTAAGGCGAGGCTAACAGCAATATGGGAGACGGTCCATATTACTGTGCCCAACCAAAAATAAAAACACTTTTTAATCGCCTTTCTTTAAAATTAACTGCCAGGATAAAAAAAATGTGTGCAGTTAAGTAGGCGCATTTTATGACCAGACGCTCCACAGGTTTTTTCCTGCTGCCCGCGGCAGATGAAGTTGATTCCGGTTTAATCAAACTCCCAACAGTTATACAAAAGAATCGAAGTTATGGAGTTTGTTGTTTCCGCGTTTTGGTAATACTGCTTTGAGAGTTCTTCTTTTGATCTTTAAACCAAGGCCTGACCATCAATAGTCAACTTCCAGACAGTGAATCAATGTCTGCATTAGTATAGTTTATAGCTTTCATCAGAACGTGGAACTTTTACCGGTCTCTCTGCTTTTAACTCGTATTTGTTTAAAACCCTTTCAAAATACGAAAAAGCGTCCCTGAAGTTCAACTGTTCCTTTAAAAAAAACGTCGCCCTCCCTCACCCTACAGTTGTTGTTATCACTGGACCACCGCTTCCCGCAGTGCGCGGACAGGTTACCCGCTGTTTCATTCATTTCAGACGCCGTGTGGATCAACTAGTCTACCGGTCAGTGTGCTTTCATTTGTCTACCGTCCACAAATGCTGATCAACTGCCGCCACATAGGATGAGGCCGAAACAGTTCGGCTGCAATGTGCAGCTAACAGTGCAGTAATTCGTTCGCCACTGTCGCGCGGCATACGAACATATGTGCTTGTGTGTGGGAAAGTGGACCATTCAGCCAGACAGCTAACTCTGGGTAATACTCCAGCTGACTGACTGGCTGGAGGGGTGGGGGGACGTTGTGGTCGGACAACGACATATATTAACGTGAGACGGTTAGAGGAACTCGGCAATTTTAGTGTCAGTTGCGTGGGCGGTATTTACGCCTCCGCTTGGGCCCTGCCCCCGGCCTTATTGACTCGGGCATAAGCGAGTGAGGGGAGGAGGGGTGTGGTAGATGC